GGGTATCTTTTGGTGTTGAATGTGATAATTACTAAAAAAAAAAAATTTCTCTTTATTTTGTGGACTTTTGTTGGGTTTCGTGTCAGTCTACAGTGACGTATGGAGGTGTACAGTGACGTAAGTGATGTGGTATAAATACGAGTATGTTGATGTGAATACATTAGACGATGATATTTGTGGAAACAGAGAGAAAAAGCCATATAGAGTGATATAAAGTTAAGGGCTGTTTGGGAAATAAACACATTGATTTGTTGTCGACATCTCATTGGCTCTTTTCTTCTGTGATAAAAACTTTGTTCGTTAGTTCGTGCTTGCATTTGCCTTACGTTGTTGTCCGTACCGTACGGTATTTTGTTTTATTGACATTGCTTTTAAGGTTAAGAAAAGAGATCAAGATCTCAAATCTTAGCAGGGTGTTAAAGGAAAAAAAAATTCTAGGGTAAAACTATTTAGCCGAATCTACCCAAATTGTTTCAAATGCAAATTGTGTTTGGTAATTCAAATATTAAATCTGCAATTTTGCATGGAGAACAAACACATTCATTTATTTTAACATATATATTATCTTATTTTGTTTTCAACTATCAAATATATAATTCATACTGTAAACTCTAAACACTACTCTTAGATTAAAAAGAGAGTCCATGGTTACTAAATTTGGAAGAGTTAACCTAACTAACTTTTTCGTTTGCGGTACACTTTTGCATTTACAATTGTAGTATATGGGTTTATTTGTGCTCATTTTTTTTTTTAATATTTTGTTGAAAATCGGCTTTCTCTATGTAATGAAAATGGTTTAACTTATAAAAGTGGAAACTAGGCTGAATTCCAACAAAAATTAAAACATAAAGATAAAGGATGGAATTTTCTATTGATCAGCTCGCGTTGATCTTTTGGACCTACAAACATGCATAGATTCTATAAATAATTAAATTTCTTAATTTACAATTTCTCTTTTGACCAAAAAAAGTGGCCTATATATGGGAAGAGAGTCTCAAACGTATGATACTCTCAATGTAGGAAAAGTCTCAAAGACTACTTACCATTTTCTTATACACCTTTAAATAACTAGGTCTGATTTTGACCAAAATAACAGGTCTGATATCAATAGCTTGACCCCGTTACATATGGACAGATTGATTTTTCTAAAAAAAATGTAAATATATATTATTATATAAAGGAGAATGCGCACGATGAGAATATGACACGTAAGC